AAACAGAATCAAAAATGGAATCGGAATCGTGAAAATCTTATCAATACCCATCCCTATACAGTGGAACCCCGACTTACGAATACCCCGTTTCACGAAATTCAAGTTACGGAGGCACTTAACGGCAATATTTCTGCCCGTGTTACAGCAAAATGCCAGAGTAACGAAATCCGCTGGCTCTGATTGGCTGAGCCTACAATGCCTACAATGCCGAATCATGTGACAACCCCTTGGCTTCCGTACTTGGGCTTCGCTGTTCCACTTGAACAACGTATTGTTGTTCTAGTTAGCAATTAGCCTATAGCCTATCGTTCAGCATCGCCTCACTCAAAACGCGCGATGGGTGCTTCGACTTACCAAAATTTTCGACTTACGAAAGACCCTCAGGAACGAATTCATTTCGTAGGTCGGGGTTCCACTGTATTATGACATACATCATGTATTGTGATATAGCCAAAAAAATATTGTGACATTAGATTTTCCTAATATCACTCAGCCCCATCTCCAGCTGAACAACAGGAGGAGTGATACACTCTCCAAGTGTCATGCCTGTGATGTGCCCCTCCTTCTTGTGGTGAACAGGAACTATTTTTGGGGGCGGTACAAATAATTTGTGTGGCATTTTGTGTGTGATATGTTACTCTGTTGTTTGCCAAATTTGTACGTTTGTAGTTTTAGAAATGTGTTGTTTGTGGGTTTCACAGTAAAAGAACAAAAACAAACCGAACTTTTTCCTACTCCACTTTATGTTTGTTGTGTGGTTTTGGGTCCATCATGTTAACACAGTGTGTCAAAATGAAATAACTGCTAGACATGGGGGATTGTGTCGTTTTTTCCCCCAGCAGTTCAAAATGAGTTAAATGAGTTAAAAACAACCAATTATGTCCTTGAAGGGTATAATGCCAAGCAAGGACAAAGGTTTCATAATGAACAAAGTTTTATTGAGCTGAAACTCTTAATTTCATCTCTACTTTCCAGATTTTTGCCTTCATTTTTTCATTTAAATTTACTGATTAATTTTCTATCTACAGTGGCTTGTGCAGCACAGGCAAAAAATAAGCAAACTTAGAGACTACAAGAGCACCAACTGGACGGATGAAACATAAATAAGCTAACACCTTTCCAGCCTTCACTCGTTCTGACATACAGCAATTACTCACCTTGGCACGGACGTTTTCAAACGAGGCAGGACTCACAAGCGAAAAGCAGATAAGAAACACATCCTGGTAAGACAAGGAAAACAAAGCAATCAGAGCCTGTAACAATCACTTCCTGTTAAGAACACTGGAAGGGGTGGAGGGGAATCCTGTGTTCACAAAGGTGTGCGCGTTTCTTTCTTTTTTTTTTTTTTCCTTTTAACTTCCTCATTCTCAGAAATCAGACTCTGGTTTATGCATGGAGGATAATACATGAACTGTAGCACAACACTGTCTTATTATGTTTTCGTTGTGGTTGTTGTACCGTCTGTGGGTAGGAAAGTGGGCGGAGTCTGTCGTAGTCTTCTTGTCCTGCTGTATCCCAAAGACCCAGGTTCACCGGCTTCCCATCCACCATAACATTGGCGGAGTAGTTGTCGAACCTGACAGAAGTGATGAAGTGCAAATGAGCAAAGCCCTTCAGGCTTAATACAAATTGTTGAAATATAACTACTAAGATACAAAAAAAAAAAAAAAAAAAAAAATGGCTGAGACTAAGGCACAGAGCATGTGGTAAAGATAAAAAAAAAAAAAAAAAAAAAAAAAAAAAAAGGACAAGAAATACGCGGTGATCAACCTATCCCTTGATTTATTGTGCCCTTTTGCAACTTCTGCTCTCTCTTAAAAACAATTGCTCATTTTTCAAATCTGGCTGAACCAAAAGCCTGTTTGTCAACTGCCTGCAGAGCCAGTTCGTGCCACAGTTAAGGTTGATTAAGATCAACACTTACCACAGCTGGTCTAGGATCAGATTAGGTGCAGGGATTCTTCTCGACTTTCTGTAACATGTATTCCTGGTGTAGTTACAGTCAAATGCTGTGATTGTACCCTCCTCTGCAAGACTATATTTAACAAACAAGATGCCATGCTTGCTCATGCATTGATTGTGTAAGGAGGGTGGAGACCAATTACTGACTGTTATTCTCACATAAATAAATAAATACTCACTGCGCTGCAGTCTCAGATACTCACACTGTGGGGATGTACTCTCCAGGAAAGGCATTGGTGGTGTAGCTAATGAGCAGACAGGTCTTACCCACAGCTCTGTAGGAGAGAAGATGTTGGATTAGTATTTATTGAGAGAAGGCAAAAAAAAAAAAAAGTGTGACTGGGCTCAGATCTTACAAATACTGACATAAGCAACAATCGTTACAATTTCATTTCTACAAACGGTGTTAAGATCAGTAAACGGCACTGCTTACAACAAAATAAATCCCTGGTGTATTACTCTGGGAAAACGGAATTGTGTGATTTTCTAAGTTCTTCTTTTTGCAAGATAAAGCACATGAGAGCAGTGGCAGAGGCACATTTGCCAAATATGAAACTTTCTTGGTTCCCTTCAGCATGCTACCCTCATGTCTACTGCACAGTTCCCCTTACACTCAAAGCAAAATAAAGAGATTCAACACAGCCACGGGCTCTGAATGGGTCTTGCTGCTGCAGTATCTACCACACCCAGAGCAAGCGGTTATGAGTGCATTTACCTCCCACATATTGTTAGCACATCTTAATGTCACTGTCTTAGCTTGTGTGTTAATCCCCTGCTGCTGAGGAAGCCCTTAAATTTTGGGAAGCTGAAAAAGCGCTGTGTTTGTAGCTTTAACAGTGACTTGCTGGAATACAGCAGCGAGATGATGGACACACAGACACACACAAAAGCTAAATTCCTAAGTAATAATAGCGAAACTTTAATTTAAGCTGTGGATCTACGACCTACCCTGTGATGTCTGACTCACCTAAGAGTGAAAGATTAGTCAACCACTTGCAAACTGGCCAGCCTGTATTACCAATACTTACTCATACCACCAACTTTAATGTATGAAAACTGCAGTCTAAATAAATAGATAAAAAATATAATAGTCAAATGCGAGTACCCATGTCGGCAAAATTAACAGGTAGTAAAATATTAGCAGCTAACTTTACCCGCTCGGAAATCTGTTGCAAAGGGTTTTAACGTCAGCTACTCGGGTGACAGCCTTTTAGCTACAATTACATTTTTAAAAGGAAAAAAAAATAAACAGGTGTTTAATATAAACTAATACCCGGCTGGGTTTGGTGAACTTACCCGTCTCCGACCACAACACACTTTATGGCCTGCATTGCGCCGCGGCTAGAGAAATGCTAAGTTAGCCCGGGAGCCAGCTAACGTTAGCTCGAGTCTCTTTTCCTTTGTCCGGGATCGCTCGTTGGTGAAAAGTCCCAACGAGCGTCTTTCTCCGCCGACCTGTGCTGCTACAACCGAGCTCCTGGTACGCGAAACAACTTAGGGGGAACTTACACTAACTTTATCGAGCAGTTTACGGCGAGTTTACTCGTGAATTTCCCTTCCTACATTCCCATGCTTTCGTAGGCTGATCTGGAAGCTATGAAGCAAAACAGCGGCCACCACCCCTGAGTTAAAAAAATACAAAAAAAAAAAAAGTTACAACACCACCAGTAGATGGCACATCCGGTGCACTGATCCATACGCCCACACAGACTTTCGTCCTAAAAATCAACCGGAGGCAGCCGAATTTCAGAGGATTGAATGAAATGTATTATAATATAACAGGTTTAAAGTTTATTGTTTAATTTAGTTTGTGAAAACAAATAATACAAAAAAAGTAGAGGGACTATTTATGGAATGACACTAAATGAGGAACTGACGTCAGCTACACGATCCCTGTAATTTCTATGGACTATGGCGAATTGGAAGTTTTACCCTCAATTATGTCTTTCAGGCTAAGCTTTAAAAGAGGATTTGAAAGGTTTCTCTGCTCCAGCTTCATGTTTTTCTGTGTTACAAAGCATACCAGGCATCTGTCCATACCCTAAAGATCATTCTTATGTCGTGATTACCCCAACTTTTGTTTATCATGACAAAATCGTATTTGGATGTAGTAGACAAGACCAACGGATCTCTCAGTAAACATAAATTGCTTCTTTGTTTTTGCTTTTGTTTGTAATTCACTAAGAGTTTTGTTATTAGAGCAGGAACTTTTACACTCCCTACTCTCACCTCCCCATTTTCTTCTCTCTCACTGGCTCCTAAAATACCTCCTGTCTGTCTTCTTCCTTTGTCTTTGGTCAGCAGTAGGATCATTTACATTTGTACCCTGTTGGTCGATATCAATGGAGGCAGACATTGTTAACCTGGGCCCTGATCAATTTAGTGTGGAACTCTCATTTTTGAGCCACAACAAGAAAGTGCTCAGAGTGCTAGACTACAGAAAAAAAAGGCAGTATACAAATGCCAACCCTTGCTTCAGATTGTGACACTTTTGTTTATTTATTTGGCTCGTTCCTCACAAACACTTGTCAGTTTTGTTTGCTTGTTTTACTTCAATTTTTACTTAGTAATATGTGTGTTATTATTCTTCAAATGAAGGACATTTCTTTTCAAAGTCAGGTTTCCTTCCTCATCAGCACTATACTTATTGCCGTTGGACAAATACAAATAATTAAAAACTAAATATTTTTGTCCGACCATTTCACTTAATTTCACATAAATAAAAATTAGACCTAAAAGATCATTTCCACACTTGCAATCAATTTTAATCTTATATATTTAAGCTTTGTGTATATTAATCTATTAATGTAAAACAAACCATTGCAACTACAGCATTTGTATGTTGTCTTGCATTTTTTTTTACCTACTGTCTGGATAAATATGAATGTGAAGTTATGACACTTTATGTGTACTTAAGCTGTGATTTTTTTTATTTTTTTTTTTGAAAAAACGAAGAACCATATACCTGAGAGTTTGTCCTCGGGGTTCCAGTTGCCCTTTATTGGCTCTTACTTCCGTGTGTCACACCGTAATGAGTCCCCGGTAAACAGCTATCGGGGTGGAGCAGATTTTCCAACACAATCGATGTAAAAAAGGACAAAAATGGGGCTCGGTGTCGATGAGTGATATAAATATGAAGTGTGACACCTTTTCCATCGCTTCGCCTTACCAGATGACAAACTAACCCTGGAAACCTGCGGACGGACTGGGCTGTATGGCGGGTCTGTCATATTTAGTGCTCCGGTTTTCGGGCTCTGCTGGTCGGACGTACGGAGTATTTTCGAAAGGCTTGACGAGGACTTTGTTGATATTTTTTGATCTCGCATGGCGGCTGCGAATCAGATTCCCCTATGTCTACCTCGTCGCCTCGATGATGTTTAATGTGAGATTACAGGTAATCATTCAGCCGCTGTAATCGGTCATCAACCCTCTAAACGGCACAGAGACAGCTGCTGATTGCAAAGGCCCCTCATGTTGGATTCATTACTGCCTTTGTTTTTGCCTGAATGAGCGACACGTTGTAAAAGATTTATCCCTAATGGACGGATAAACGATCAATTTTAACTACATTTAAAGCTTAAGGATTACAGGTACTTAAAACTAAAGCTGCCTAATACAAGGAAAATTCTCCCTTTATCTTGTCTTTAATGCTCACTTTTCCCAATTAAGGAGGTGCCGATTTATTATTACCAGCTTTTTATTGGCTTCCATTTTTAGTGCCTTTAACTTTCAATGAAGATCTATTAGCTTATTAATGGGTTTAATGGATTATGTTGATTATTATACTCTGCCAAATGTGTTAATATTATGCAAACAAAACAACTGCCTTTTGTTAGCGATACATTGAGAAACTGTAAAAAAAATATTTATTTGTTCTTTATTTTATTTATTTTAAATTATTGCCAAGATACACACATCTTGGCTGACCAGTAACTGATATATCTGAAGCAGGCAACAGATATCCTGGTCAGGGACTTGAGATTTCATCTGTCTCCAGATTAAAATGAATATTGCTTCTAATTTGCTGCCCTTTTTGGGTCTTGTTGCGTGACCCAATTTTGGCCAAGCTACAGCTGTCACATTTGACTCAAGAAGACTTATAGAGAGGAGTTCATAACCGACTCAATAACTTAAAGGCACCCAAATCATCATCCCTCCACCACCTTGCTTGACAGCAGGTGTGAGGTGTTTGTGCTAATATCCTGTGGTTGTTTTTTTTACTTTGGTCTCGTCTGTCCAAACAACATTGTTCCAGAAGTCTTTGGCAAATCTAAGCTGTGCTTTCATGCAGTGGTCAAACTTGCTGATGATCAGTTAATCAAGGGCAGCTGATCGTCAGCTCCTAGCTCCTACTTACACACTTATATCCTGTGGAAGCGATAAGGGTGACCTAGTTTCTCACTGAAGGGGATAAAGTCCTGTGAAAACTTTATTTTTCACATAACTGCAGTTCAAAAGTAGATATCAAAATAATAAATGAAGATGAAAAAACTAAGAAGAGATTGGATAAACACACTTTGCATATTTTGTCCACCAGAGGGCACTCTGCAACTTCACTGTCAGCAACACAGTGTTTGGAGCAAGAACCTGCTGATATGAATAGAGTCAGGCAGAGCATAAACAAGTATATAAGTAACTACTCAAGACAAATTTTGGAAATGTTACGGAAGTCTATTAAAAAAAAAATCACCAAATATCTAAGTTGGTCAAAAATCTTATCCTACTACTCATTTTTTTTTTTTTTTTTAGCACTACCTAACAGAGTTCTCATATCTTTATAGGTTCACATCGAAATCCACTGAGTCTTCAATGGCTGCATTAACACTTAACAATGGATAGTGTGCACTGTCACGTTGCAGCCATCAGAAAACACCGGCTGACCACACACAGCGATGTGAAAAAAGAAGACACTTCAAGACACTTCAGTCCAACACAATAACGTGGCTGTTCGTTTTTGCCGCCCGGTGCCAGTTACACTGCCCGGCGCCTTTGCAGGTGAAGGGAAGCGGTGATGTCTGCAGATATGAGACAGGGTGAGCGGCGATAGATGGAGCAGATGGAGCGGGGAAAGAGCCCAGCAGTCACCGATTCAGGAGAAGCTCGTCAGGTGCATGAAGATATTTCCCCCGCCTTTTCTCTCTGATATCGAGGACTGTAGCATGAATGATTGTTGCTGTGAAAGCTTATAGTTTTTCTTTATGTCTTACATGTATAGCTGACCTAAATTCACAGTATTAGTAATCACCCAAATCCTTTTTTATGTTTCTGTAATGGTTAATCCACCAGTATGCACACGCTCTATAATTAAAATTATATTTTAATGCTAAAACATAATTATTGTTATCCATGAATTTTCAAATTTATGCCCTTCAATTTTTCTGTTTCATCAAAGAAAAAACATCAAAGCATTTTTATTTAATAGAAGGTGCCAAATTACAGTTACTTACTTGCATTACTTAACAGAATATTCAGTCTGAGTCGTTAAGTCCAGTGTGCGGTTCAAATCTGGGTGTAAAAACATGAATTCGGTTTGAAGACTCAAAATTGTCAAAGATCGAGAACTCACCGAAAAGGACCGAGTTCGCATTAAAGTGCTTCACGATGCCGGATGGTCTTTCAGACAAATAGGACAAGACATAAAATGTTCTCACAGTGTGGTCAAGTACGCTTTGGAGTCAGTTGCAGAGACCGGTACTTACAGAATGCGCCAAGGAAGAGGGAGAAAACAAAAGCTGACTGACGCAGATGTCCAGCACCTCAAGATTTTAAGTACCAGTGACAGAAGGAAGACCACTGCTGATCTTCAAGTAGAGCTAAATGCTTCTAGAGCAGAGTCTGAAAAAGTCTCCAGAATGACCATAAGCAGACGACTGAATGAACAGGGCTTAAAGGGGAGAGTCGCTGCTAAGAAGCAGTTATTGAGGCCCATAAACATCCAGAAACGTCTCAGATTACCCAGGGAGCGCAAACACTGGACTGTAGATGACTGGAATAAGGTACTTTGGACGGATGAGTCTGAGTTTGAAGTCTTTGGTCAGAATAATCACCGAAAATCTGAAGGAGGTTTTGATGCTTGTTGCACTGCACCCACAGTAGAGCACGGTGGAGGTTCCATTATGGTTTGGGTTCCATTTCTGGAAACGGCGTGGGCAAATTAGTGAAAATTGACAGTATCGTGAACATAAAGATCTACCACAACATCTCGGTGGATCATGGAATCCCTTCTAGACTGAAACTGATTGGTTGTGGGTTCATATACCAACAACACAGTGACCCCAAACATACTTCATAGCTGTGCAGAGAGTATTTGACCAAGGAGAAGGAATCCGGAGTACTGGAACTGATGGACTGGACAAATCAGAGTCCAGACTTGAATCCTATTGAGCAAATTTGGGATTTGGTGGATTTGAAGATAGATTGCACAAAAGTTTCATCCACAGCAAGTCTCTGGGAACAGCTGGAAACTATTTGTAACAAAGGAGACTGTGGAAACGTACATAAAAACAATGCTAACAAGAATGCAAGCCGTTATCGAGGCCAACGGAGGCCGTACAAATTAGTTTTTCTGTTTGTTTGGTTATTATTGGTGAATAAGGACTATTTAGTAGTTTCATTTTGTTATTTGCCTTACAAATAACATTTTTTAGTTTTAAACAATTTATTAAAAAATTTCTAAAACAAAATTGGGTTTTAGGCCATCTAATGAATTTGTCAAGCACCATACATGTATAGACATTCAGTGTGAGGTATAAAGTAAACATCTAATTTTTATTTGAAGAGGTTCTTTTCCCTGCATGACGCACAATGTTTCTTTTGTCCTCTATGATCTGGACTAATTTGTGGGTGGGTTTAACTGGATGACAGATGTACATCAGATATCAGCAGGTTTGTTGTAGGAGAAGTCAGTAAGTGCAGTAATGGTTCTCACTCTCACTCTCATGCTCAGGTGGTCACCGTTTCTATTGTGTTTCTGCTTACCAGTGGGATCAGCAAATCGATGCTAATGAAAGGTGTTACATTCAAAATTATTTATTACTGTTTAAAGTTTTTATTTCTGTGAAATGTGTGTGAGTGGGGTTTGAAGTTACAGAGCAAATGCTGAGAATGAATGAACTCTGTGAGAAATAAATGAATTACACCACGACTCTGAGCCATTTCTATGAGTAAAAAGTAACAGTTGTCTCGTTTGGGTTTATTAAACTGTCCTTTAGAAACAGACCATCTTCTATAGCATGTTCCTGTACCACATAGAAACAGCGACATGTGTGGCAAAACCACTTATTTTCTGTTGCTATGTTTCTGGTTACGTGGACAATTTTAAAAAAGAACATGAAAATCTTAAAATACAATGAAGGAGTGTTTTGATGATCAAAATGAATTTGAAACAATGGCAATGAATTGAGTTGAAGATGATGAAGATTGAGTGTCATCGTGGATGTGTAGCTGACAAATCTACAGCAGCCGTGTGACGCTATCATGTCAACATAGACCAGACAGAACCAGAAAGGTGTAACTAATAAAGTGTCCTTTATTAGTAGAGGATGCCATTGTTCACATTTTGGACAGAGAGGACAGATGGTTTGAAAGAGGAGTAAAAGAAGCCATCTATGTCCACTGTGAGCGACCATCTTTGAACAGAGGCGGTGGTTTACGACACCAAATCTCTGCCATCTATAATCCAGTTTTGAGATCCCTTCCTAGACGCCTTAACGCCCACTCAAATCCTGGGCCATCTGACCTCAGGAATTCACATGATAAGGTGGGGCCAGGTCTCACAATGAACTCACCCGAAACTCTGGCTGATTGGGACCCACACCCAGTTCCACACCTTGGCTCAGGCGATTAGAGGATCATCAGGGGGTCCTTTTGTCCCTCTGTGGGGGGATACTCCCACTAGGTTTATATCTGGGACTCCCCACCATTTGACCTTAGAACTGAAGAAGCTTCTCGGATGAGAGGTGAAACGTCTTCAAGTAACTTAAAGAAGTCCAGACGCTTTTCTTTGCAAGCTCCTTTGACTCCTTTATTAGTAAACTGATGATCCATCATATATCAAAGGTAAGTAAGAAAGAAAATTGTTTTTTTAATTGTTAGTTTTCAAATGAATAACAGTATCAATAATTAATTCTATAATACAATGTTTTACACAATAATAAAGAAAAAATTTGCTGTAAATTCACTGATAGTTTCTGTTTTTAGAATAAATTCCTTTATTTCTTAGAATGTAAGCCAAAGCTGTGCTGACAGGTTTCCATGATTTACTACATCAGCCGTTCTTTATCACGTGGAACATTCGAGACACGTTAAATTTGATCATCTGTTCACTGCCACTTTAACTGGATGGTCAAAATGTGAATTTTAAAGGAACTGGACAGTTTTTAAAGTTAAACTTCTTTGCACTGAACATAAAGGTTCAGTTGGAGGTGACTGGTTTATAGTTTACACACCATGTATTTACTGGTTCAGCCCACTTAAGAGGAAATAAAGAGGATATCAAATTAATCTGACACCCCTGCTGTAAAGCATCATAAAAAGCTGTGATCAGACAGCTGTTTGCTTTTCATGTGGACAAGAAAGTAAAGAAGGTTTAAGGCTTAATAACTGTTCTCTTTATAGCATTTTAATCTCACCGTAAATCCATGCAAGAAGTTGAAAGGTTCCTTGAATTTCATACATGAAGCCACCAGCCTGTTTGGATACTTGACACCTGCTTCCTCTGCTGGGTAAGTGTGATGATTGTGTTGTGTTGTGGTGCCCGCTGTCCACAGGGGGGAAGCAGCTTACTGAATTTCCTTTCCTATCTGTTGGAAACGGCCACTGAGAGCTGTCAATCTCTTTGAAGCTGATATAGGCTAATAAAACTATAAATATAGCTCACGATTATTTAGTCCCACACTGTGATCTTTTATAAAAATCTGTTATTCAGATTTAGTGCACCTGTGAAGGAAATGTTTAGTGTCCCTTGTACGATGTATCCGTTCCCTCGTTCTCTGATCTAAATCAATTTTTAAAAATCCTGTGTGACTAATGTCTGTGTTTGAAGAGGGAGTGGGTCTTTGCATTGGATCAATCTTAGCCACCAGATCCATTTGACACGTCCCTTCAGTGCGCACTTCCTTCAAGTCAGTTTCCAAACTGCTGACACCCTCCTTCAGCGCAAAATGTTCCCAGTAAACTTATCCTAGCCAGTCGCTCTGCAATGCCAGGCTGCAGTGTAAAACCATAAGGGGTTGCCAAGGCAACTGTATTTTTCCATGTGACAGACAAACCATCCCTCCTGCCCCCCTTTTCTAAAAAAAAAAAAAAAAAAAGAGGATTTATTTTTCAGGGATTTGCCAGAGGAAATATTTTAATAGGGTTATCATAGAGAACTGGCAGAGAGAGGGAGAGATGGTGGATCACCATCTATAGATGGTGGATAAGTCGGGTTATCTTTACCCTGATTTTACTATTTGTACCCTTAAAAAAGAGGGGGTAGTGGTGTAAGGATTACAGAGTTTTAGCCTTTGGCATGTGCAGCAGCTCGCATGTGTTGTTTGACTGAATGTTAAAGAGTGATAACACTGCAAATGGCAGAGGTTCAGTTACAGCTGCAATGCAGTATTTTAATGTACAGCTCACATCTTTACACTTACTCATTAATTTTAAGAATTTATTGGTGTGGGAACTTGAGATTTCTTGACTTGAATTCAGAACTGAGGTTACTTCAACCTTTTAACTATGATTTTGTAAGATTGGAGTCTCTATGTCCAAGTCAAGATCATTTTTTCCGTTGTCCTTTTTACTCAATTAATCAGCAGAATCTATTATTCTGCACAAACACTATTAAACAAAATATCCCGAACCTCCTAAAATCTTCTTCTCCCAGACTTGCCAGACTGTTGTGTTTGACCTCATAACCCACTTTGAGAGATGCACATTACTGAGCACTATGTTTTGTTTAATTGTATGTTTGTTTGTTTCAGTCAGAAGGTGTGCTCATTTCTTTCTCACTTTTTCTTTCTTCATGGAGGAAGGCTTTAATTTTAGGAAATATCCATTATCACTTTATCAGTTTCACCGTACTAATACTACATGTTCTGGAAACCTTCCACACAGATTTTGCTCCATCTTGAAATTCTAGCATCACACAGTTGTTGCAGATTTCTAGGCTTCACATCCATGATGTGAAGCCTAGAAAGCCTCTTCCACCACATCCCAAAGATCCTCTACTGGATTGAGATCTGGGTACTGTCGAGGTCATCTGAGTACAGTGACCTCATATTATGTTCAAGAAATAAAGTTTGAGATTAGCTGAGCTTGTAGCTGGTATTAACTATCAGAAAATGGGTACACTAAAAGTTGCAGCAGAAATCAAGACTCACCAGACCGGGCAAGTTTATTCCAATCTTCTGTTGTCCAATTCTAATGATATTGTGTGAACTGTAGCCTAATTATTCTGTTCTTAGCTGACAGGAGTAGCACCTGGTGTGGTCTTCTGCTGCTGTAGCTGAGATGCTCTTCTGCATACCTTGGTTTTGATGTGTGGTTGCCTTCCTTTCAGCTCAAAGCAGTCTAACTGTTATCTTCTGACCTCAGGCATCAACAACACGTTTTCACTGCTGCTCACTGATATTTTCCCTTTTTCAGACCATTCTCTATAAACTCTAAAAAAAGTGATGGTTGTGTGGAAAATCCCAGTATATCAGCAGCCCATCTGGCACCAACAACCATACCACATCCAAAGTCACTTAAATCACCTTTCTTTTCCCTTCTGATGCCCAGTTTGAGCTTCAGCGGATCATCTCATTCATGTCTACATGCCTTAATGCATTGAGTTGCTGCAGAGTAGATATTTGTGTCAACAAACAGTTGAACTGTACCTAATAAAGTGGTCGGTGAGAGTATTTTGTAATTGTCTTTCCACAAGCTAAATGAGAAGATTGATACTCCTCTTGTGGGTGGGCGGCAGGTAAGAAGCTACTCTCAGCAACTAAAATAACAGCGTAAAAGAAGTGTTTCACAGTTTTGCTGTCAAGCGTATCTTTTTTCCTGGTAGAATTTGTTTCAGTACACAGAAGATAGCTGTTCAAAGTCTTTTGTTTGGTGTTGTTGGTCAGTCAGTTACTTGTAAACCATCTGTCTGGAAGTCACATACTATAAGTCCTAAAAACCCTCCACAATTTCCTGTGCTCAACAAATCTACTTTGTTTTGTCCTTATGAAAATCGCCCGTATAAAGAACCAATCCCAGTGTAACTACATATTTGAACCTCTAGCTCATAGCTCTCCCAAACTGTTTATGTGTCAAACTGTTTATGCCGATTGCCAAACTTTGTGTTTTGCAACCAAACAGGAAATGGGACCCAAACTGTAGCAACTAAATGTTAAGTCTTGTCGGAAATCAGCTGCTGACAGACCTGCACTTTCCAAACCGAGTCTACAGCGTGACTCACAGAGTGTCACAATTCTTACTTTGCTTAACATGTGATGGACTTTCCAATAGCTTGGCTGAGAGCCGTGAATATTTTATATGACACGCATTAATGCACACCTCCATGTGTAGCCAAACAATAATCCACACGATTTTAGCTGAGATGCATTAAACACTAAATTGTGATTTATGCTTAGTATTTTGGCACCAGAGAGCATTACTGTGTGAAATATCCTCTTCCTGGTTATTTCTGAGTTTCTTTTACAATTTTAAACGCTGTTGACTAGGGAGGGGAGACATATGCAAAGCGTTAAAAAAGATGAGATCAAGTGCTGAGATGAGCTCCGAGCTGACCTGAAAACTGAATGAAGGGGGGAGGAGAGGTGCAGGGGGAAGCAGCGGAGGAGGTTGGGTGGTACATTTGCTGTAGTCACATCGCAGGACTGAAGCAGGTAATGCAAGCAAACCAGTGTTCAAATGCATGCCTATTTTTGGCAGGTGTGATTATGACATTTTTCTGCATCAGGTTTTTTTTTTTCTTTTGCATTAATTTATTGAAATAGGACAGTTTCATGTTGTGCAGAGCCTCAAAAATCTGTCAATTTATATAATTTCTTTGTTTTGTTTTTATTGTTAGGAAAAAACAGGTTCATGCAGGAATGTGACAAAAAAACTGCAGATTTTACCAATGATTTGCATCATTTTGTTTAATAGAAGGGCACAGTAATATTT